TCAGATGGCACACATTTGACAAATTTTAGTGGGGAAAAGAAAAGCCTGGCCAATCTATTTTACCATCGGGAACATCAAGTCATCGGTCCGGAAGCAAGCCCACGGGCTTCGTTAATTCTCCTAGGGCTACTGCAGTCCTAGCTCGGGAAGAACTCACTCGCTAATTCCGCTTACGAGTAGAGTCAAAGGCGCTGATCGCGCCTTGGGGGAGATCTTTCAGAGCATTCGGGAGTGCTCTCAGGAAGGCGAGCTAATGGCATGCGCCGACGGGTACGAGTCTTGCTTTTCCGGTGTTGTCGGGTTGGATCGCTGATTCAACTGAGATTCAAACTTACAAATATTAGTACTAGCTTCTTGTCCAAGAGCGAGGTGGAATTCCACAGTCTTGGGAGCACTCGCCGGGCCTACGCGCGATCACGAGGATTACCGGAGAGGGTAAGCTATTCAGGGAGAACCCGGGAAACCTGCCGGTGGAATACCTTGTCGCGAATGTTAAGAACTCTTCAATGCTTCTGGGGTTGCGAGGGTTAATCCATACGATCTCAACAAACGGACATTCTGCACATATCTACTAGGGATGTTGAAGCACATGATGGAGTGGGTTCAGGCTTTCTTGAAGAAGCACAATCGATTGGAGGAATTTGACAAGGTTGGCCTCGATTGCGCCTTACCCCTGGACTGGCAGTACCGGAACAAGGCATATCGTGCCAAACCCAATGGCAAGGGAAGGAGATGAGAAATCTGGGGCGGGTCGTTCTTGGAGCACTCGCGGCTGCTTTGAGAAAACCCGGGGGTGGCTGTCAGGGGGCGACTTCGCAAAGGCATTGAAATGTGTACGAGGCTTAATCGACTTCCACTTAATGGCGCAGTATGGGAGTCATACGACGAGCACACTGAATTATATGGAGAGCTATCTCGAGGATTTCCATAAGCACAAGGATATCTTTTTAGAATTCCGGGCGTACAAGAGGACGGTTAAGGATGCGAGAGATCGGACAAAAGCTGTGAAGACCTCAGGCTCCCAGAGCGCTCAGCGAGGTTTGGAGGAGATTGGCGAGATACGGGAAAGGTCTCACTTCAACTTCATCAAATTGCACGTGTTAACGCACTATCGGGAACATGTCGAGCGCTTTGGGGAGCATTCCCCAGTACTCCACGACATCAGCGAACTCGCCCATGTACGTCAGATAAAAGAGGCATACGGAGCATCCAACAAGGTCGATGCTGCAACGCAGATACTGGACTATGGGGGGCGGCGGTTGGCGTTAGAGATTCGAATGCTGAATCTGAAAGACATTGTTGGAGGTCCTGAGAGCACTGACGACATCCTTTGGAGCCATCGAGATAACCTGAAGGAGTTACTTGAGATTTTTAAAATCGAAGACCGGAAAAAAACACCAAATGAACGATCCATAGTAGAAGGCCGACTGCCTCTAAGCCGTCTTTGCAACCCCTGCACGAAATCGGAAAGACTTTTCAATATTGCGGATGGACTGCAAATAAGCCATACCACCTTATATCGCCTGATAAAGGAGTATGCAGAGGATGCAGGATGCCTTAAAGCTTTGCCGGAAGCTCTGAGAGCATTTTAGAGCGCCGGGTGGAGATGTTCACATGTTTGCAGGTTCCGATACCAATCTTCCAAAGACCTGAGGTGTACGAGGTTCACAATATCAGGTGTACGGGAAACGCGGCTTTTAGGAAAGGGAAAATGAGAAAGGATTGGGTATGGGTGTCGGTAGCGTCCTCAGAGGAGTGGGGAGTGTTTCGGGGACGCTTACCAGGACGTGTCGAGGCTTTGTTCAAGCTGCGGGACAGTGGGGGGCGAGCACATAGACTATGTATAGTGGAGCTACTCGAGGCAAAGGATCGTGGTATCGCTGATAGCTCACATGGGCTCCTGAAGGTTTGTAGGAGGAGGAGGAAGAGGATGTGGGTCGTTAATATTCGGAGTATATTGGGAATGGCCCATTTGTTTGAGGTGGAGACTGGTAATTGGTTGGTAAATACTAGGATAGACTTGCGTACGTGGAATGAATTTAGTTGAATACTTGTAAAGCCGTGAGGGCATTCTTGAGTGCTCTAGGAACATTAGACCCAATTGGACTCTCTAATTCAAAATTCGTGTCATTCTGCTATGCATGCGGATTGGAAGAAGGAGGTAAAGTTTCGGCCGCTCAGTATCTGAGTCTGGCTATCCAGCAAGCTCGCTCCAGGAGGTCAATGCCAGTCCATGTTTGCTGCTTATGCATGGACATTGAGCTTTTCAGACGAGCCGTACCATGGCCTCAACCTCAAGGCTAATTATGCTTTCACGAATCGACAGAAACATACACGTCCGTCAAAGGTTGGGTAGTCGTCACCAGTTTACAGGACAGTGCTCGTATCAGTATCCCGCGACTGACCGTACAGCGGCGTTGAGGATACCCACGTTAGATATCTTTTGAGGGACTGGTGCGGCCTTCCTATCCTTTGAGGACGGTGTATCAATCCAAAGGAGCCCAAATGAGGGTTGCCTCACCTTGAGTGGGTATGACGAATGCCTCAGCTCTGTGAGCATTGGTGAGTGCTCTGGGAGCACTCGCGGAAGCCCTCGCGGGAGCGTTCGCGGGAGCGTTCGCGGGAGCATTCGCGGGAGCATTCGCGGGAGCATTCGCGGTGCCGTGATAGCATTCGCGGTGCCATGAGAGCATTCGCCGTGCCGTGAGAGCATTCGTCGTGCCGTGAGAGCATTCGTCGTGCCGTGAGAGCATTCAAGAAAACTGTGAGAGCATTGGGAAGTGCTCGCGTGTACTACTGACGTAATCAAAAGAAGCAAAAGTTCCTAGGTGCTGTGGGCGGAGTCACTCCATCCTAGCGTCTCCGGAGGGGAGGGAATCTCATGGCGGCCCAGGCGACCAGAGCATTGGCGAGTGCCCTCCGGACGTGAGCCATATCTCCTGGCGGTCCCAGAGAGTGGGACGGTCCTGCGGCGGAGCCTGGCGCGAGGGTTGTACTCTGGCGGTGCCGGACGCGCTGGGCGCTCGTGGCGCAGAATGCCCGCCAGGACGTAGGGGCTGCGCCCTGGGTAATAGGCGAGCTTGCTGATGTTGAGGGGTGAGGGGATCACAACTCAGGAACTAGAGCGTGAATAACTTCGCGTACGAACAGATGTGCGATAAGATACCAATAGATTACGCGGTCTATTGATATACAGGATCTTGTTCGAGTAAAAGTTTTGTCGGGAATGCGGGCCAAAAGTTATTGTTGTTCGAAAGTTTTGGTGTTGCGAGGAGTACAGAAGATAGATAGATAGATTTTTATATTGCTTTGAAGTACAGGACTTATCGCACGTCGGACCTTCCGCCATAAACATAGGAAAAACAAAGAAAACCGAAGAAAACAAAGGAAAAGAAAACGGAAAGCAACGAGGATCACGAGAAGGTACAGAAAAGGAAAGAGAAATCAAAGAAACCTATCGTCATTCCTCCGGGTCCTCCTCGTCCATTTCGTACCAGTCGAGTAGGTTGGTTTTTGATGCGAATTGTAGAATCAGTTCTACATTGAGGTTGGTAAATAACCAGTTTTCCCAGGTGTGCGGTCCTGGGATTTTATCCATAAGTGGCCTTCGTATTTGGGTCCATCGCGGGCAGTCGATCATGGTGTGTTTGGAGGATTGTTCCGAGCCACATTGGCAGGGTTCAGGTTCCGTGTATGCTGCGTGTCTGTCTAATCTGGTGGCTTGGGATCGTATGCGGTGTATGAGTTTTGCTTTGGATCGGGGGAGTTTTGCTCGTTTGGGGTGAATTTTAAGGGTTCCTGGCTCATGGTAGTTGGTGCATGGGATGGAGTTCCATTCTTCCAGCATGCGTTTGGTGAGGGTGTCGTTTTGGATCCATCGCTCTCTACGGTTGCCTGGTTCTTGTAAGGGTAGCATGAGTGATGCTATTCGGTGTAGGCCTGTGCCTTTTATGTTTTTTATCTTGGTGGGGAGGAGCTGTATAAGTCCTTCATTGAGTGGGTGGTCGGCAGGGTGGCAAAGGATGCGCGTCCCGTATTTTCGTGATTTGTGGTTGAGGAGGTGTTCGAGTGGGGGGAGTGCTGCCTCTTTCAGCAGTCTTTCGGTTTTTGTCCAGCGGGGTAGGCCTGTTACTATTCTGGCAGCTTCGTTATAGAGTGGGGATAGTGATCGGAGGATGTGGTCGGCTCCCGTCCACCATGCCTCTGATCCCCATAGGATGGTGGGGAGGAAGCCTTGGACGATGAGGTGGTGGATGGATTTCACCGTTGTCCCAGGAAGGTGTGCGATGTTTCTGATTCTGCTTAGGGCTTTCAGGCCTTTGGCGGTGATTTCTTCGATGTGGGGTCGGAAGGAGAGGTTTGAGTCCAGCCATACTCCAACGTATTTGAGTCTATCTTTAGGTTGGATTTCTTCTTTTGCGATTGTTACCGAGTTTCTGGGAGTTGGAGTGTTCGATGATGTGGGTTTGAAGAAGACCAGGTCGGATTTCTGGGGTTCGTATTTTATATTGAGGGGTGCTGCTTTCTTGACCCTCTCCGCCATTCTTTCATTGAGTCTTTTGGTAATGAAGAGGGGGGACTTTGCGAGTTGTACGAGTGCATCATCGTCGATATAGGTGGTGTTAGTTTCTTTGGGGGAGTTGGTGGGGTCTGTTATCACCCCGGCATATATCATGAATAATACTGGGGAGAGGGGGGAGCCTTGGGGTAGTCCTGAGGCATATGGTTGTGGTGGTTCCAGTTCGTGGTTGAATTGGAATTGGAGTGTTCGGTTGGTGTTGAATTCCTTGCACCAGTTGGTTAGGTATGTTGGGAATTTTTGTTGGGTCATGATTTCTGCGAGTAGGAGGTGGTTGACACAGTTGAAGGCTCCCTGTATATCATTTGTGAGGAGGGCTGGTCTGTCTGGGGTGGTTCCTGTGGTTCGTTTGATTAGGAGGTTTTGTTGTATGGGCGTAAGAGTCCTAGTAGGGCATCAATCGCTGAGATTGTTGGTCTTCCTCCAAACTGGTCTTTGCTGAGGGTCTCCAGGATGGATCCGGCGGTGCATAGTCTTGTTGCCACTATCTTTTCCAGTACTTTGCTGAAGCATTGTAATAGGGAGATGGGTCGGTAGGCTTTGGCTGACGAGTAGTCGGATTTTCCTGGTTTCGGGATCGGTATGCATTTTGCCGCTTTCCATCAATCCGGCTGGACTCCATGTCGGAGCATGGCCGAGAACATGTCTTGGAAGAGTTGGGTGTTTGCCTTGATTGTTGCCTGTATAAACGGGTATGGGATGTTATCGGGTCCGGTGGCCGAGTGTGTCGGGCATGATCTGATTGCGGATGTAATTTCTTCTGTTGTTACTTCCTGAAAATCGTCACTAAGGTCAAAGGAGGGGGGTCTGATTTGGAGTGGGGGGTTGTTGGGGGACGTCCAATTTGTGGGGAAGAGTTGGGCTCTTAGAGCTTGGCACTTCCCCGCAAACGTTTCTTCACCTTGTATAGTTGGGATTGTAGAGTCCCTTCTTTTCCCCGTGTTGACTAGTTTCCAAATGGTGCTTCCCTTGGCTTCCATGAGTTCTTTTTCCCTTTGTTCTGTCTTGGCTTTTCGGATTGCTGCCGTCCATTTCCTGCTGGTCTTTCTGAGAGATTCCCTATCTTCGTCCTTTTGGGTGTTCCTGGCTTTCCTTTCTAGTGTGTTGAGGGTTGTTTTAATTTCCTTCAGCTCTGGGGTCCACCATTTTTTGGATTTAAGGTGTCCTTGGCTCCATGGGGTTACTTGGTCTATCAGGTTGTCTATATGATCGAGTATGAAGTCGACCGATTGCTTTGTGTGGTTCTGGCTTTCCCATGCTTCGGGGGGGAGGTGGAGGCCTGAGATATTCTCTTCCAGTTTCTCCCAGTTCGTTCGGTGCCATAGTCTTCTGGGGATATGGGGGGGTTTCTCTATTCGTAGTTGCAGGATCGTTTTCCCATGATCAGAACCTGCTCCATATCGGTCGATGTTCCAGCGGACGTCATGGTCCAGTACTGGTCCTTTTACGAGTGTCAGATCGATGATGGTCGGTCTATTGTTGTTCCTAGGGAAATGTGTAAATTCGCCTGGTTCGTTGAGTAGGGATAACTTTTGTCGGTCTATCCATCTTTTAAGCTTCTTGGATCCCGATTTGTCTGCTCTAATCGTGTTGGTGTAGTCGTGGGATCTGTGTCCATACCAGAGTTGGTGGTGGCTATTAAAGTCTCCCATTACGAGGCAGTTTTGGATGGTGATTGTTTGGTGGGAGATTTCTGCGAAAGGTCCGCTTCGCCCTGGTGAGTATATGTTGAGTATTTGTGTTTTTTGGTTCTGAATTTCCACCGTGACGGAGACGATGAAGTTGTTGTGCGTGTAATGGTGTTTTGGTTTTAGGTTGGCGTGTTTTCTGATGTATGTGGCGGCTTTGGTGCCCTTGTTGCTGGCTGTAAATAGATAAAAAAGAGGAGATTCCGGTGGGTGGCCGTCCTTATTGTTCCATGGTTCCTGTAACAAAAGAAATAGTATGTTGTGGTCCTGTTCTGCTTCCTCCACTACTGACTTTGTTGTTAGCTCGTTTTTCGCGCAGTTCAGTTGCTGTGCGATAGCCGTGGTTCTTTTGATGTGACTCATTGGGTGTTGTCCATGGCTGCGTCTTCTTGTGGGGGTTCTTGGGCCGGGATAACTACGGGAATTGGTAGCGGGCTTGGGTTTGTGTCTGGTCCGAGTCTGTTTGTGATTCGGACTTTGGTTAGTTCCGGGCAGTTGGCGTCTGTTGCTTTGTGGGGGGCTTTGCAGTGATAGCATCGGATAGGTGTGTGTGAGCATCTGAGGCCTCCGGCGCATTCTGTACATGGGTGGTCTTTGGTTTGGTCTTCCTCGGCACAGTGTCCGCATCTTCCGCTGTTGGAGCAACGTTCCTGTCTATGGCCGTATTCAAGGCATTTGGCGCACTGGGTCTCTGGGTTTGCTGGGAGGTAACTGTCGATTTTGCAGTTCCTGTCGAAGAGGGTGAGGTATCGGAGGCCGAGGTTTTCTTTGGTGAATTGTCCAGGGAGGGCGATGATCATGGAGGAGTGTGACTTTCCGATTCTGGCTTCTGGTTTTGATAGCCATCTCGGGATTTGTGCCAGTTCAAACGTGTTGCCGTAGTTGTTTCTAATTTCCGATGCTAGACATTGTCCTGCGTCGAAAGCTTCGCCTATGGAGGTGGGGATGCCATGAAGGATGAATTTTGACCATCTGGAGTTAATTCGGATGTCGACGAAGGGTATCTTTAGTTCGTTTAAGGCAGTTTCGATTTTCTTTTTATATTCAAGGACCTTTGTTGCTGGGGTTGCAAACTTTGATTCCAGGATTATGTTATTCTTGGTTGTTTTCCTGGCGGCGATTAGTTAGCAATCGGGGTCCTGGATTTTTGCATTGATCTTGGCTCTGATGTCTGATGGGGTGATTAGGAGTTCCTTATTGGTTTCGATCACGATTTCCCGGTTAAGTTTGGTGATTTCCGGTTTGAACAGAGGGTCTGCTTTGGGTTTGGTTTTCCTCTTGTTCGTGACCGTCGTGAATTCGGGGTTTGTGTTTCCTGCCGCGGCGGACGCGTAGGATTTTGGTGCCGGTGGAGCCAGTACTTCTTTAGCTTTTCCTTTTGGCTGTTGGGCATGGTTGGGGTGATTGGGGTTGTTGGCGGGTGTGGTGGGGGCGGTGGTGGTGGCGGCAGCGACGGCGGCAATTGCGGAGGTTCTTCCTTCAGTGA